AGAAATAGAAAACGGGACTACCAGCGCGACAATATAGAGGATTAACAAACGTAAAGAGAGACCCCAGCCAATAAATACAATCTTTAAAAAAAAAAAAAAGATATTAAATGTAAAGAAAAAGAAATCAGCCAGTGCCGCGGCTCACTAGGCTAATCCTCTGCATTGCGGCACCAGCACACCGGGTTCTAGTCCCGGTCAGGGCGCTGGATTCTGTCCCAGTTGCCCCTCTTCCAGGCCAGCTCTCTGCTGTGGCCAGGGAGTGCAGTGGAGGATGGCCCAAGTGCTTGGGCCCTGCACCCCATAGGAGACCAGGAGAAGCACCTGGCTCCTGCCTTCGGATTAGTGCATGCGCCTGCCACAGCGCGCCGGCCGTGGCGGCCATTGGAGGGTGAACCAACGGCAAAAGGAAGACCTTTCTTTCTCTCTGTATCTCTCTCACTGTCCACTCTACCTGTCCAAAAAAAAAAAAAATTGTATTTATTTGAGAGGTAGAGTTACAGGCAGTGAGAGAGAGAGAGAGAGAGAGAGAGAGAGAGAGAAAGGTCTTCCTTCTGGCTCACTCCCCAAATAGCTGCAACAGCCAGAGCTTTGCCAATCTGAAGCCAGGAGTCAGGAGCTTCTTCCTGATATCCCATGTGGGTGCAGGAGCCCAAGCACTTGGGCCATCTTCCACTGCTTTCGCAGGCCATAACAGAGAATTGGATCAGAAGAGTAGCAGCTGGGACTAGAACCCACACCCATATGGGATACCAGCGCCTCAGGTGGAGGATTAAGCTACTGCGCCACAGCACCAACCCCTATCATGTAGTTTTGAAAATTATCTTCTAGGGGCTGTCGCTGTGGCTCACTTGGTTAATCATCCACCTGTGGCGCCAGAACCCCATATGGGCACTGGGTTCTAGTCCCAGTTGCTCCTCTTCCAGTCCAGCTCTCTGCTGTGGCCTGAGAGGGCAGTGGAGGATGGCCCAGGTGCTTGGCCCCTGCACCCGCATGGGAGACCAGGAAGAAGCACCTGGCTTCTGGCTTCAGATCAGCGCAGCGCCAGCCATAGAGGCCATTAAGGGGGTGAACCAACAGAAGGAAAACCTTTCTCTTTGTCTCTCTCTCTTTCTCTCTCTCACTGTCTATTACTCTACCTGTCAAATAAATTAAAAAAAATAAAAATTATCTTCTAACAAATGAATTTATATGTCTTCTAACGAATTATGTATTTTGTTCAAAGATTTACTTATTTATTTGAGAGAGTTACAGAGAGAGAGAGGAAAAAAAATTTCCATCTGCTGGTTCACTTCCCCAGATGGCCACAACAGCCAAGGCTACAACCAGGAGCCAGGAGCTTCTTTCTGGTCTCCCATGTGGGTGGCAGGGGTCCAAGCATTGGGCCATCTTCCACTACTTTCCCAGGTACATTCTCAGGGAGCTGGATCGGAAGTAGAGCAGCCAGGATTCAAACCAGCACCAATATGGGATACTGGTATCACAGGTAGAGGCTTAACCTGTGAATACCACAGTGTCAGCCCTTGTCATATGTATTGACTTGTCTTTTTACTGTATTGTACCATAATCTAAGCAGTCTCCTATTAATGTATATTTGTGTTATTTTATGAACATAGCGCTCCAGTAAATATCCTTATCCATATAGCTTTGTGATTTTGTGTTTTTTGGTGTCAATCTGTGGGGTAAATTCTTTTCTTTTAAGATTTATTTTATTTATTTGAAAGAGTTACAAAAAGAAGTAGAGCCAGAGAGAGAGAGAGAGAGAGAGGTCTTCCATTTCACTGGTT